TAGTAAATTGATTGTTTGAATTTTCATGGTTCAAATAATCAATTTATAGTCAATATTGTGTTGTTCATTCCTCTGAAAGGAGGAGTTGCATTTCTTGGCCACGAGGTTCTTCCACCACCTTGGCACTTTTTCGCCAAAAACAGACTAATATTTTCAAGAGTTATAAGTGCTTGCAAATATTTATGATGGTGAACGAAAATGATTGATATCTTTTTTGAAGAAATTTGGAGTTTTTTCCAACTGAGAGGTTTAGGTCTCTTCAACCCTTATTACGATGAGCGATTGATTTTATGTATGTGCAAATCTTTGTCATTTCAAACTGTAGTTCTCTTCTCCTAACTCTCATCTACAATATTAAACCAATTTCCCTTTCATTTCCTCCACAAAATCCCAAGTAAAGCCTCCTAAGATTTGTCGACAACAGCTCGCAGAAACATGTCATAATCATGTTCCATTAGCTATTTGAACACCTTAAATGGCAAATTGTGAAGAACTCAAGAATTGTAGTAGTGACAAATCTCCACCAACTAAAGTGATTTAAGCTCCTAATCCTAAATCGAGTTACATTAAAGGCTAAAACCCATCCTAGGGCTGTGTGCCAAATGGAGTTTCAGGAAGACCTAGTTTTTCCAAGTCCCCTTATTTAAAAATTTATAAAATTATGGAATACTCAGGATCATATATAGATACATTTAACATTCCAAGCATTTTCTATGACCAAGGTTCAATATTTTCTCCTCATCAAAACCCTAAACTTGCATATGAACTGCTCTATGGTTTTGACTTGTTTTAGTTGTCGTTGACCCTTACTTTCTTAACCCTTAAATAATCTTAATTAAAAATTAAATAATCCAAAGGTATATATATATATATATATATTAAAATCAATATTCAAGATGATAACCCTATGCCACATCAGATTGGGGATTCAAACACATGACTAAAGGAAGGAGTTTGAAGGGTAAATGATGAATCGGTTAAAGAAGATGGCAATGTTGGATATGTCATGACTATGCTAGGGATGATAGGATTTGAAGGAAGTTATGTCTATAATGACAATTTGAGAGGGAGTAAGAAGATTCGTCAAAGTAAATAATATTTGTATGAATTTTGATGATGATACATTTTAACTTTTGCATGAGACGGTGACAACATTTTTTGCTGCTCATTTGCATTTGCAAGACAATATTTATAGAAGGCGATTATGGGGACAATGATCTTGTAGGAGGGTGATGGAAAATTTGATGATGGAGGGTTTATTGAGATGGGTCGGTGATGAGGACATCGACAGACGCTACCGACATGTTTATCGCCGGCGAAACCGCATATCGACGGCCACGATTCAGCGCCTCTACTTTTGATTGAGATGACATGATGTATTTTATTATTGTCTTGTTTGATTTACTATTTTTCCATTTTACCCCTGTGGGGAGTTATGTTTCTTTGTAGCCCAGAGGGCAATTTAGTCTTTTTTCACTTTTATGAGTCAAGACCTATATATAGTGGTCTCTTGTATCATTTTGAGCTTAATGAACATTTGAATGAAATTTGTGTTTTATTTCTACTTCGTCTTGCATGAGTGCTTGAGAAGGAGGAGAAGCTCAAGGTGAGCAAATCGCAAGGCCCACCAGTCGTTGGAAGAGTCCGCGGCTCGTGGTTACGTTATCATCTTCTCGTTGTGCTTCGTTCATCTCCTTCCCCTTCCCATTGAGATCCAACCGGCCGAACCCGTGCTTGGCCACCTCCGCCTCCTTGGAGCCCGCCGCCCACCACCTCACATTCCCGGCCGACCTCCTTGCCGGCGATCCCCCCCCTCTCCACCCGTCATCCCACCCACCCATCCTAAGTTTAAAATTTGAAATTTGAATTTTCAAATTTCAAAATCTTTCCAAATTTGGAATTCCAAATTTGGAAAGTTTCTCATGACAAATTTAATTTCAATTTAAATCAAATTGGAATCTTCATTCCATCGCCACATCATCACCTCCAATTGGAAACCTAGCTCTCCACTAAATTCCCTCTCCTCCTCCTCATCTTGCCGCCGGCCCTAGCATTGGCTCCCCCATTAATTGCCAGCCCCTCCTTTGGATCCCGCCGCCCATCCCCTGTGAAATCCCGCCGGCCTCCCACACCCCATCCCTCCCTCTTGGCGCAAAGATCCTCCATCGTCATCGCACAAACCTCTTCTCTTCGAAAGATTTGCCAACATCAAGCATGTATGGCGGATCCGGAGTTTGAGTGGGGATTGGTCTTCAACGCCGACGGGAGCATCAACATCCTACGATCACCTTGTTTTGACGTAGGATTTGAAGACGAGACCACCGTGGAAGAGTACTTGGAGAGAGTCGTCCCGATCCTTGCAAGCATCTACGACCGTCAATTTTCAAAGCACACGTGGAGCCTTGACGGTCACCTACGACACCCATCCCCGCCGGCTACTCTTCCTCCGACGAGGTTCTTCGGCGCCCTTTCTCTAGTGGTAACTTCCTTCATCGCTTGGATCTTCTATCTCCGCCAAAAGTCCACCAATCTTTGAGTGATACGGCCCCAAGGTGAAATTCTCGTTGTTAAAACGTTGGGTTTTGTTATTTGTACTCCGCATTTAATTCCCTTGGATTTTTGAATGAACTATTTTGGTTAATCTCAAGTGCATCTCTTTGGCCTAAGCGAAGTTAACGTTTCTAATTCTTAACTTTATCTTGCATGATCCACATAAATTTATAATAAGCAAACTTTAACAATTCTCTTTTAATTTTGATCGTAACTCCTAGTAGTTTCACATCAGTCGGGCCTCCCAATTATTAATAATTTAGATTATTTGAATTTTGGTTTTATAATTGAATTGGGCCTTTTCTTGGTAACTAGAAGGTTAGAGTAATGAATCAAACTGAGTTTTAGATTGAGTATTCCAATGATCAATTTGAGATATTACTAATCAATAATTTGCTTAAACAAGTCGGTTTGCATTGATTTATGTAAATTCCAAGTGTTTTGCACATCCATTTCCTTTATGTGACTATAAATTTCTTAACTAATAGCTATCTTTTACGTGAAGTTTTTGAATATCCTGCAAAGCTTGTTCATGTTGTACTATCATAAGTTGTAGGGATAAGCTTCTACTCATCTCTTTATTGGACATGCTTTTTATCTATAATTATAAACAAACCTCTCCCTAAATATTTATTTATTTATTCATGCATTCTATCAAAACAAGGTAAATTATTTAAATATAATTGTTTAGTTGAATGGTGTTGATTAGATAGTGTTGTAGGCAATGGTAGTAAAAAAGGGAGAAATGAGGTATTATGAGAGAATGGTTCGAGATAAGCTAAAAGGATTACATTGAATATTCAAACTTAGAACTAAGCTAAATTATGTTCTAATAATTCAAATTAAAATATGAAATCACCCAAAATGATAATTTATTTAATTAAACAAATAGATAAAATTTTAATTCCAAATAAATTAAAAAATAGTGAAATTCCATCGTTATTGAGAAAACTTCTCTTTTGAAGAGTATTTTTGTATTTTTGCACATTTATTGAGCTGATTAGAAAGACCCAAATTACATACTAGAGAAATAGTGAATTATTGACAACAAATGTAATTTAGCAGTAGATTACTATCTTTCTGTTATGCAACTATATTAGCATATTAAGTATCGAGTATTTTTTCAATCCTCATTATAGCTTTCTTCAATATCATTGTTATTCGTGCCAATTGAGAATGTTCCTCAAAATTATTTCTTCCCATTGTTATACGTACCAATTGAGAATGTTCCTCAAAATTATTTCTTCCTAAGTCCGATTTATCCAGCGGAAATCGTGAAGCAAAAATTCAAAATATTACAACAAAGTTAAATTAAATATTTTGCCATTGATGACAAAAGGTGTCGAAGGGAAGGGCTTTGGTAATCAATGCAGTTCATGGGCCAAATCACATGAGGTTTGAAAATGAGGTCATCGATTGGTTGGATGAGGCTTGAGTAGCTGAGTCGAATAAATTGAGATTTTATAAATTGTTGCAGTTTAAGGACACAAGCTGTTGACTGGCAATAGGCTGTGTTGGAATAAGTTATTGACGCCAATGTTTAAGTTGAAAGGAAAAGCCGTTTCCATAATTGATCAATAGGCAGAGATTTTGCACGTGTTCTATGACTATAACGAAGATAGGCTAAGGCTACAAGCTGAAATGGTTGTAGTCAATTGATGGAGTGCTAACGTTTCATGTTGGTAAAGAGAATAGGAGCTATGATGTGGTTCTATTGCTTAGTTTATTTTTGGTTATCATGCATCACTCAATGAGTTTGTCTTAAGGGGCGCTATTATAAGATTAGGAGTGGCTGATTGCCTGATTTCATTGGGAGGTGTCTATGGAGGGCATGCTGGCTTGCTACAAGGATAATTGGGTTTGAGTTAGCATAGATGCGGAATCAAGATGCAAAATGAGCAGGAGTAGTTATTAAGGCAGAGGAACCACTGGGAAAAGTGAGGGAAGATTGCCAGATTCCACGGGTATTGTAGATTGCAGAAATATCTTGTTTCAATTCATTTAGTAGCCCTCAATTAGAAATCCGAATCTCCTCTTTATAGAAATATAGCAAGATAGAGTCTAAAAGATAAGAATTATTATTTTAATTCAAATATAAACTAAATTACCCTACTAATTTAAATTTAATCTTGATGTTATTAAACAAAAGGATAATTTAACTGATAAACTAAATAATACATCTAAAATCCTAATAAAGTTAAAAATTCTAAGATTAAACCTGTCGGTAATCTCTTGTGCTGCATTAAATGGATTTTGCTAATCATTTCTTTGATTGGGGATCTGATGGCTGTATTAGGGCATTTATCATGTACCTTTTATGATGTGCATCTATTCTGGCTGCTGGAAATACTGAAATTTATGTACTCTTATTTGTTGAAATGCCCTAATTGTCTCATCCTAATATTTGTTTCTTGTTTTTTTTTTAAAACTTTGTTGTATATCATTTTCAGGGAAAAATTATCTGGTACTGATTGGTCATTGGTCACAACAAATGATTTGAAGAAATACTATTATAACACCGTGAACAAGGTAGGTTCTTATTTAATTAATTTTCTCTTAGATTTGATAGTTAACATTTCACGCTGCAAGTTACTACTCCACAAAGCAAATAAATATTAGTACACTAATCTTATATGTATGCTAAAGAAGGCCTTAATTGTTGGCCTAACACTGTGAAGTCTAATCAAGGGACTTTTTTTTGGTGGGTCTATTTTTCCACTTGTGGCTGAGCTCATTGCTTCTATTGACATGTAGCTTCTTTCTTCTGCTGCCACTTCCATCTTGCTTTTCAACAAGAATCCTGCTCCACATGCCTGTGGCCTTGTTTTTTGTTTTAATTCTTGGAAGCCTTATGAATGTAATATGGTTATTTTTAATAATTTAGCACACATACACCGATTTTAGATACTAGAGTAAATGAGTCTGTTTTGCAAGGGCATTTTTTTTGAAACGATATATATTTTTTTCTAACTAGAGCACTTAACGTCAGGTTTTATATATATATATATAATAACTTTAGTCATATCTGGTAATAATTTTTGTAGTTATAATGAACCGTTCAATAACAATAGTTTGTAGCAAAGCAATGCATATTCATTCATGACGCATATGCTTTGCTTAAAGCTTTTGTTTCATAGCAGGGCCAACACATTGCTTTGGTGCAAGTTTGTGCTTCGTAGGCAAGTTATGTGTAGTGCCAATGCATCACTTCGCTTCTAAAGTGTAACATTGAAACATGAAAGAATATGTATGAAGTTTTTAAAGCAATCTGATTTTTTCTTCTATTCAGTTGGAACTCAATTGCACTCTATCTTATCTTTTAATCAACCTATTCAATAGTATCTGAACTTTGATTTAGTTAATATGACCATTTTTTTTCCAATGTGTTTGAATTCCCCCTTTTACCATCTGCTGGTAGTTGGTATCTCTACTTGTAATTATGTTTTCTTCATAGACTGCTCCAATTATTGAGTGGATGAGTAACTCAATTATACAATTGATTTAAAAGATTAAGCTCATTTGTAAGAGCTCCGAATTACCTATCATGTAGTAAAAAATTCTTCCTCCATGTGAGCCATGTGGGTTTACAAGTTTGAACGCTGCTACCTTATGCTAGGGATTTATCTCAGTATAGGCTTAATAAAACTAAGTTTTTGAAATAAATCTGTGGTATGATATGTACCAAGTTTTTTGTCTCAGTAAAGTTTGGTAGTGGAGATTTTTTTTTTCCTCAGAAGCTTTGATACATTTCCTCTTGAACTTTCTTAGACTAAGGTCTGAAATGACCTTGTTGTCTGATAGGAAATACTTGAGTTTGCAAGTAATCCTATCGGATCTACTTGAGTTCGCAAGCAAACCTAACAAAAAAATCAGTAAAAACAGCGAGAAAAACGTAGAAATGTTGTAGAAAAGCAAGCACACGATAGCAACGTTTTTATAGAAAGCAAAAGGAACAAACACAAAACAAGATACAAGAGATCCTCAATTCAAGAGGAGGATCGTCTCTCCCAAATCTCTAGACAATAGCGTCTAGAGCCCAAGCACCCAGAACCCTAATTATTCAATCAATCAAAACATAATCTCTCCCTAATCCCTTCATGTACTTTAATACAAAAACTTTCATAATCTAATTTCCCTCCCAAAGCTCTAGCCGCCCCCTCTATTTGATTTTGAAAACATAATGATGGGTGGGACCCATCACTTTGGGCGGACAACAGGAGAGGAGGCGGACAAGCTCCGCCTTCTATAAACTTGAGCCGGCCTTAGCCGGCCCAACCGGCGTAACATTGTCGTTCTTTGAAAGGTGATTAAATAAACAAAATGATGTGATTACAGTCTTAAAAATATAGCTGACAAGCTGTTCAAACAAGCTGTTACTCAATGAACTCACAAGCTATCACTATGTAGGCTCAGAGCTTTTTACATTTTATCTCGCTTTTATGGAACATGAGATTATGTTTTGTTGCTTTACCATATTTTTTTTCTCTTTTCTGCTTATCTAACATTGATAATTATATATATAGGTTAGTAGCTGGCAAGTTCCTGCAGAAGTTTTGGAAATGAGAAAAAATCATGTAGCAAACTCTTCAAAAGAGGAGAATGCTAGCATTCCCGCAGATAAGGGAACTACGCCTAGCAGTTTGAATGCTTCTGCTCTGCAAACAGGTGGTCGTGATTCTGTGACCTTGAGAACTTCAAGTGGACAAGCGTCTGCATCAGCATTGGATTTGATAAAGAAGAAGCTGCAGGAATCTGCTACCCCAATTGTGTCGGCACCTCTTCAAACTTCAGCTTCCCCTGCATCTGATTTAAATAGTACAAGAGCTCTAGATGTTTCAGCTAAGGGGCAGCAACCTTTAAATAGTAAGGACAGAGTTAAAGATGCTAATGGAGAAGGAAATATTTCAGATTCGTCATCTGATTCAGATGATGACGAAAGTGGGCCAACAAAGGAGGAGTGCATTATTCAGTTCAAGGTATTTCGTTTTTATACTTCCTAATCTAACTGTTTTTCCTTTTTTAGTAGTAAATTAGTTCAATGCCTTTTATTTTTTTATAGTTTCAGTTCTTTTTTACTTCATATGAGAAAAGCTAGCTGCACAAATGCAATGCTTGGAGGAGGGAAATGTTACTGTATCTATTATTGATCCCAACATGTGTTTCTTTTTGTCGATCCTCCTTTATATTGCTTCCCCTCTGCAGCCATTGCTAAAGTTCCTTTGAAAAATGATTAACAAGAAAGGGGAAAAGGCTGGTACTCGGTTCAGAAAAGTACTTCTAAGAACAGCCGCTTCTTAACTTATTTTTGGTTGGAAGCTTTTTCCCTTTTAACTAGATCCGGTGACAGGACGAATTGACTCTTATTGTTATCAAATTGTTGTTTTTTCAGCTTAAAAAAAAATGTTGTTTTTTTCAGCTTAGTTGATCTTTGTTTTTTTTTTCAGAAACATCTGTTTTTATAGTTATCCCTTTAGAGAAAATATCTTTGCTAAATGCTCAAGAATTTTAACAGTGCTTATGTTTTTTCGTTTGTCAATTGTTGCCTTATATCTGCAGTGTTTTTATGACCGACTCAATTATTTATTTATTCTACATTATAGGAAATGCTTAAAGAAAGAGGAGTGGCGCCATTCTCAAAGTGGGAAAAAGAACTTCCAAAGATAGTCTTCGATCCACGCTTTAAGGTTTGTTGAGTCTAAAGATTATGAATTTTGGGCCTTTCCTACGACAACTGAATAAAACAGGTTTGTTAGAACATTATGTTGAGCTCACTCATGCCCGGGTTATTTTTTATTTTTTATTTTTGTCCATTCCTGAGACAAGATGTTTTTCACCTTTTGCTGTTTTTGATTTTGGAGATCGATTCTTTTTTTTTTTTATTATTATTATATTTAAGGTGTGTGCTTATTGACTGTAGGTAATGAACATTGCTACTATAAACGCTTACTTTCTTTTCTATGGTTTTCTCCGGTGCTAGTTTGGACTGCATTGCACAATTGTCTTTATAGTTCTTTTTATCATATTAATTAAATGGTGGCCTGCAGGAACAAGCTCATCTTGTAGCAACAGCAACTTTTCTGATGACTAATTTAGCATGGGAACACGTCCTAACAAAAGTGGTTTGCAGATTTGATTTTTTTGAGGGGCTAATTTTGAAGCCTGGGAAAAAATTCCAATGATGAAAAATGGACGGTGTGCAGGAATGTGCTCATCATTTAAGGACCGGTTTTGTAGGATCTTTGGAGTTGATTTTTCTTGGATCCTCTCTTATAACAAATTCTTGATCAGAGAAGTGGAAAGATTTTGAACTTTACCTTAGATCAACAATCCATTTGATAAGCTTAAATAAGACAACTGATTTCACACAAGTAATCCATGCCATTCATGTTTTGGATCTTTTATGTGAGTTGGGAAGCATTTAAAAACTAAATTGACCAATGATTGATGTAACATAATTTTAGGGGACATGGTTAGCATCTATTAGTCATATTTTGGGCATTTCAATTGTCAACAATAAACTTTTGGCACTACAAATCATTTTTAAAGTAGGGAAAAACACGTCATATAAAACCTCATATTGGACATCTTCTCATAAATATTTGTTTTTGATTTGATAGTTTAGTTAGAAAATAGAAAAAAAACTATTTTGAATTTATTGTTTGGTTTTGTATGAATTGTGAAAGTATATATAGATTTCTTCAAAAGTCTTATAATAGACATAAATTAAATAAAAGTTTCCAAAAGGTGTTAGTGGCTAGAAAAGATGAGAGGCACACGGATTGTAGTCTAAGGGCCATTAGAGGATTGATCCAATGTTTAGAACCCTTGATCCGTGTGCTAAATCCTTATCATGATTAGTTGATTTGTGGCTTACACGATCATTTAACACTTCCACCCAAATTGAATGAGAAAATTTATCATTCCAAATTCGCTTGTACTATTTTGAAAGTGGGGTTGCAGGGTTCTTTAATGAGAATGCCTATAAGTTGATTTTTTGTTAGCACATATAAAGTACAAATCAATTCACTTTTATAAATTGTTTATCTACGTTCACATGCTTGGTATGACTATGTGTAGTGGATTATATGTGATGTTGATGGCAGATTTGTTATCTCATCATATATTTGTTGACACTTTTCATTTAATTTTTAAATCTTTCAAAATGATTTTGATTACTAAAAATTATAGAAATGGCTCTAAAGTTAGATTTAGCACTACATCTTGAAACAATAGTTCAATTTTTTTACTCCATATTATGATTTTTTTCCCCTAAAAAAGTACAATATCCAGTTGTGAATCTTTTATTCACTTGTGATCCTACATAGTTTGCATCACTATTTCCCTTAATTTACAAAATATCCATGTTTTAATAGAGAATTCATTTACCAAGGCTTGATTTAAGGTATCTGAAGTTCTATAAGCGGCTTAAAGATGAGATTGTTTAGGTTTGTGCATAAATTGATTGATGAGAGTCATTGCAAATGGAAATTTTGGATAGGTGTGAGATCATTTGTCTAATTAATCTTTGATGCTATTGCATGCATACTTCTTTTCCTTTTTGATACTATCCCAGGTTTGAATGTTTGATTTACTAATTTTGACCTAGCTTAGTTGGGGTTTCTTAAGATTTATAATCAATCATTTTTATATTTTTTATGAGATCCATGACCTTTTTTTTTTGAGAGTAATATTTCTTATTCTGATTGAGCAATTTCTATTCCTAAAAAATATTTAAGTTCGTATCAACCAAAATTTGTAGTTATGAGTACAACTAGTGGTCATCAAGTATTCTACCATTAAGTTAATATCTTTTAGCACGTGATAAACAACGTTTTATTCTAATAACATCATGACAATGGAGAACATGTTAGGAGGCATGAGTAGTACTCTTTATAATTTAATGAGTGACCATGCTTAAGACACCAAAAAAAATTATACATTTAAAATAATTGTATTATTTTAAGTGCAATGTAGACTTATTATTGTGTATACAACTAAGCTATATGATAAATTGGCATTTCTTCTCCAAGAGACGTGCAATGTCCATTATGTATTAGACACAATACACGTCGGACACGCCTTTGACACGCGTACGCGTCTTTGACATGCAGCCTTCAACACGCGTCAGACACGTCTTTGATAGGCGTCAGGCACGTGTTGTACACGCCGAAGATATATCCGATGAAAAAAATATTAAAAATAAATTTGACATGTGGGTCGAACACGTCTTAAATATTTTATTATTTTTTAGAATATAATTTCTTGTATTTCAATTTTGTATATATTAAAAAAATAAGAACTAAATTTCTTATGTTCTCTCCACAACTTGAAAATCAATTGCCTCTATGCAATATCTCATTCTCCTTACATTCCCATTTTCATTTCTTTCTAGTGGGTTGCAACTAGGATTTCACAATAACAAACAATGCTCTCTCTTCCACACTTTTACAACATCAATATTATAAAATCAGCTCAACATTGAAGTTTGATGCTATCTTGCTTGTCGCAAGCAATTTCTACATCCACAATTATTCACCCGTGCCATTTCGACATCTCAACTTTGTCCAATGTCATCATAACATTGATGCTCGACTCTTGACGGCATTGCCATCTCTCCTCTAGATGCGACTCTCATCATCCTAATATTAATTATTTTAAGCATAGATCTGAGTTAAATGACTTATTACTTATCTATTATTCTTAATATTCCACTTATTCAATTTGTATATACTATTTTTAAGGTATACAAATTATAATACCGTGTCTAACTTGTATCTATCTCCTATGTTTTCAATAATTGACATGTCCCGTGTCTATGTTGTGTTTGTATCTGTGCATAATAGAAACTAAGCTAAATTAATAAATCATTAGTAAGTAGAGTAAAATGTTACCAATATTTTCTCTTATATCGTGCATTCTAAAACTCATTCGTGGAAAGATATGATGTTTTTTATCATAAGCATGTGTACTTCAAATTTCACTGTTATATCTTCACTAGCCCTCTATAATAACATACCTATTTGGTACCCATAAAATTTTGCCCACTAGCATCACCATGAAGTGCACTAGGAACTTGTATAGGTTGTGGTTAACTTAGTGTGGTGCCTTTGAAATCCATATAAGAGATGATGAACTAGCGGTGCACTCGGATCACTTAAAAGCACATACATAAAACCTAAATAGATTCCACAAGTTGCACTAAATTTTGAGCGAAATATGCATGGAAGATTTTGTGATTTCAGTGTCATGGTTTCTAATAAATAAGATACCGTGCATCTTTAATTTACATGTGTGAAGCATGCATACAAGAAGTGGCAATGCTTTATGGTGTAGAAGTGGTAGCTGAAGAGGATAACTTATCAAGTTTTGTTTTAAGATTAGCAACCTCATTTTTAAGCATTTCATTTCCATTTTCTGACAATTTTTCTAATTGATCTTTCAATGATTCTAAATCATGTTTGCAAGAAGATAAAGAATTCCTATGTCTAACATTCTTATTTGTTATTTGCAAGGAGGATGCCTTTCTTTGTGGAGTTCAATTAGGAAATGTACAGAAATTTAGTCCTTCTATAATTTTCTATAATAGGCTGAATTTCTTATATTGAAATCTAAAACATTTATTTTTTCTTCTCCTTTTTCTTATAGCTCCACAATATAAGTTTCTGTTCTCAGTACTGTAGCAAAACTGCAACTACAATACTCAATAATGTATTTGTCATGTTTCCCTATTCTCTTGCCCTTCCTCTAATTGCTTTTGCAGGATACATTATTGTTAGGGTCTTACCATTGCTTGCAGATTGTTTTGTTGATTTATGCAAATTGCCTTCTTGTTGGTGTCTCGTTATTGTTTGCAAATTTCCTTACTGTGAGAGCTTTGCTATTGCTTGCAAATTGCCTTGGTGCTACTTTGTTACTATCATTGTTACTGCAAACTTCAAAGCGACCGCAATACTTTAGGAAGGAAAAATAGCAATTGGTTGGTGCTTTCATATAATATGATGGAAAGAAAACCTATAAGAGGTGAACTAAACTAAGAAGAGGGTCTATAGATTAAGTTGGTATTATAACATCTATCCTTAATGTATAGTTCAAATAAAGACAGTATACAAAATAAGGTATTTTCCGTGGAGTTCATAGGAAGGCTGGTAAGAGACTATTAAGAAGGGAAGAAGGCCAATCAATGTTTAGCAATGATTCTACCCAAAATATGGCTGATCAGGTGGCTAGACTGATGAAGTTGATGACTGCCATGTTGGAGTTGATGAAGATGCAAACATTTGCCAATGTGACTGGTAGGTCAAGTCATATTCCTCTATGCCTTATAGAAATATGAATGGAGAGGATGAATATGATAGGAAATACTGAGTTCGCAAGTAACCCTAAGGGAATACTTGAGTTCACAAGCAAACCTATCACTAATTGGAGAAAAAACAGTGAGAATAAAGCAAAATCTGGGCGAAATCAGCCCCAAAACGATGGATTGCAATAAGAGAAACAAAGCAAAATCAACACGAAAGCAAGATACAAGTGATCCTCAATTAGAGAGGAGGATCGTCTCTCCCAAGTCTCTAGACAAGAGAGTTTAGAGCCAAAACGCCAAGAAACCCTAATTTTCAATCAACCAAAACATGAAAAACTCCCTAATCCCCCTCATCCTTTTGAATACAAAATATTTCCTAATCAA